CTGTATTATTATGACAAAGAATTCCAAACATTTTTATGTTTTAATATCATCACCAAGAGACTGAAAATGTTACGATGAAAAGTACATTTCTATATTGTTTGGCTTCTAATCCTACATGATAATCTATTGTGATGTTTTAGGCCCTATTGATCGTCTAAATCAATTTTGGTCAATATGTTAAAGAAATGGACAGATTTTTCAGTCAAAATGACTGAAATATTTACACATTTTATAAATTGCCTGAGAGAATCACATTTTACAAATTGGCTGTAATATACAAAGGAAAAGACTTGTGAAAACAACGTCTATCGCGCATCGAAGAATTGCCAAACCAAGACGTAGAGGAACAAGAATGAATCTGTCCAATGCTCCTGCAAATGAAGGAAAACAAAATGCGAATATCATAATTACAACCTACCAAATTTATGTGTATAATGTTAGGCAGCTTCCTTGTTCGAGGAATGTATCCGTCATTATCCCAAACGTCTGCATCTGAACAAAGAAACGTATTCGATGTCACGTGTCTCTGTAACAATCATATATATATATATATATATATATATATATATATATATATATCGTTTCGGGATATTATAACCCGTGTTCGTTTCTCAACTGAGATTGTTTCAAGTGTTTCCCATAGGTGTCAAGTGTCAAAGGTCGGCTGAGAAAGCCCACGTGACAACTATTTTCATAACGTTTTCATTTCATAATGAATTTCATAATGAATTAGATAACAATGAGCAATTAATCAACGTCTTATCAGTTAACCCTTTGAACAGAGAATGTTGTTTTTACATCGGCACTTCACGCCATGATATGTGTGTATTCCCTTTGTTTTAGTTAGCCTAGACATGTAAACACTCACTTTTGACATATCCACCGTGCAAGATAACAGTGATTAATCAATCAATGTATTTTCTGTTGATCCTTTGATGACTACGAACGATCCCCTGTTTTCCAAAAAAAAGTAAATCATCTGATCATTCATCTCTTGCCTGGCTGCCACGTGCATATTACTTACACATTTCACCTCACTTCAAACCTGGATTTAGATTAAATAATTACCCCAGACACAATAAATGCCAAATGGGAAGCTTCCTCAGGTATTCGGAGTGGTGCTACCACTGATTATACCTGTAATAAATTCATTAACTGAGCATCAAGTGAATGACGACAAATACACAGGTGTAGGGAGTAGTAATCGCACTATCGACGCAATCCGAAAATGCTTACACTGCATTGATACTTTTTAACTATAACAATCAGGGTATATCCAAATGACGACAACCGATGAGCTCCACCGTTCCTTTTTGTCTGTTTGTTTAGGCTGAAGAAATTAATTAACATGCAATCAATCAATAGTTGGGAGATTTAACGAGCGCTTCAGCCTCTGGCTATTTCGCACTCGGGGCAGACGGGTCTTATAGAATCATGAATAGTGGTAATAATGATAAACGTCAAAAAACTGTAAATGAAGGGGGATAAGGTAGTGAGGAGAAGGGTTGGGGTTGTAGAGGCAGTAAGAGGCCGTGTAAGAGATAGATAAAGTCCTACGTTAGCCAGGGTCTAACATGCGCCCTTTGCCGAAATCTTTATAGATCACGGTTAACCAATCAGTGTTCAAAAATTGGTAAAACAAATATTGTCTCCAAGTTTATTTTGCTGTCCTTGCAGACGGTAGCCCGGTCTCTTGTCACGCTCGGTTGCGTTGCGTATCATCCGGGTACTCACGGGGAAAAAAAATAACAAAGGCAACAACCAGTCCCGGGGAATCGCTTTAGATGAGTGCCCCTTTATTAATTAAAGTATATACGATACAATCCCTGACCCATGTAGCATAGTGATTTAAATATTACACGTATTTCACAAAGTCTCCCCTCCCCCCTCCATACAGCGTCCTGAATTAAATAGAAATTATATTAGATTTCACGTAAGGGGAGATAATGGTCTACACTGATATTTAAATAATGGAAACGGGTTATGTCAAGTTATTCACAGTCGCCTCAGGTTTGGCTGCAGCGATCTTAAAGTGCAGATCAGAATAATAGATATATTTTGGTAACAAAAACTTGTTCCTGTGGATATCATACCGAAGATGTTCTACACTTTTTTGTTTGTACAAATTACTATGTTCTTCAAATGAAATGTATTTTTACCAACATGGTTATATTATTCTTTACAAACTGTGCTAACCTTATATCAAAAACTGGCAGATTTTCAATTAAATGAATTGTGTAACATAAACAGAACTAAGGGAGCTGGGTATGGTGGATGTTTGTTTGTTTATGTAATTTTGATTTGATAGATTATAGTGTAAGGCCTTGAAGTTTTCTAGTTTATTTTGTGGGTTTAGTATTGCTTCTAGAGTGAGAGCCTTGTTTAGATTGAGGGTGGTTTGTAATGCGGTTCGATGTGTTAGGTAGTGTGTGCAGTGGATGAGTGCGTGTTCAGGGGTTTCTAGTTGTTTGCAGTGTGGGCAGTTACCTGTAGCATGTTTTTTAATTTTTTTAGGTGGTTATTTAGGTTGGTGTGTCCTGTTTGGAGTTTAGTTATTACTCTGTCGATTTTTTTTGATGGATGGAGAATTTTTGGTTTGGTTAGTGGTTTGCTGAGTACTTTTTTGATTTGGCTATTTGAGAGCGGATCTAAATGCAGTTCTTGTTTTAAGGCATGTACAATTGATTTGTTGCATCTAACCTTCTTTGTATTTATTGTATCATGTCTTATGTGTAATGGAGCGGTATTAACATAAGCTCTTCGCTTGTTTACCAATCCATTTTCACATTTTTGTGAAAATAATATGTTTAGACCAAATTGAGGGTGTAATTTGAGAACAAGGTGTCAGTACGTAAGAGTAAATCAATTGCCTTCAATTGGTTATTGCCTCTTTGAACAGCCGCGCTTGGCCCCGGATGTTGTGATAGGCAGATTGGTGACACTTGAGGAGCTCAGCTCAGGGACTAACAGTTTGTTATACACTTACACATTGTCGTTGATAGAGTACACACGGGACCACGAGGTGAATTCGCTATATCCGTTAGTGTGTTCGTTATATCCATCAATTTAATATGATAAAATATACAGCAAATGGCCGCGACCAAACGAACAGTTCGTTATAAGCGTGTTCGTTAGAAACGCAGTTTACTGGGGTGCAGGCTAAAACGCCACCAATTTCTCATTTGGCGAAAACTGCTACTATTTGTTGGGCGAAAACGGCACTTCTATTTTTATAATGATAAGAACGATTTATGAAGTAGTATATATGCTTTATTTACATGCTTCACTTTGTGATGTTGTAGAATAAGTGATTTATTTACATTGTTACTGTCTTGTCTTCGACAGTTATTCACTGCTGAATATTGTCTTAAATGCAGTTTCAGCTTGACATTGAGTAAACTTGAGTAAAGGTACTTAAAACTTCAAAGCATGTGATGTTCCCATAAAAAGTTTTGTTGCGCCTCCCAACCAGGAGTTGGTGAGTAAATTGGAGTAGAGGCTAATTTCTAATGTAAATTTGTTTTGAGGGGATTAACATTTCACAATCATTTGTGTTTGCAAGTGACCATGTAAGTTTAATTTCTTTCTTTTTACTTCAAAGCATGTGATGATTTCACAATAAGTTTAGTTGCGTCTCCCTATCGGAGTCGGCATGTGAATTGGAGTAGAGTCTAATTTCGAATATAAACTTGTTTTAAATTTGCACAATTATTGTTGTTTGCACGTGACGTGAAAAAAATAAGGTGCCGTTTTCGTCAGGCAAAAGTAGCCGTTTTCGCTTTAGGCAAGGTGACGTTTTCGCTCGTTATGTTTTGCTGAGGTGCCGTTTTAGCTATGTCTTTCTTTACCCAGTACATATAACGATTATAACACGACATCCTAATTTAAAAAGCTATTCAAATAGAATGTCATTATGGAACTGAAAGTACCACCTGAAATCAATAGAGAGTTGCGCACTAATTATGACGCAAACAAATCAATATTGTGTGCAATGGTAATTATTGCGCGCATCTCAAAGTACGTGGTATGATATTATTGCAGGTAGGATTAGGACTACATGTGGTTCTCTGTTTGCCGAACGCCTTCCATACCCCATGGAAGGTAGGGTTAGGTTACTGTTTTACGATATTCTGAATACACCCAGTCCCGTTAGCGTACCGTTGAACATACAGCCTATGCACGCCTACATGTCTAGGCGAATGTGATCGCCCGAGCCCTCCGGCAACTGACATATCACATCTTTCATAGTCTACAGTTTCTTGTGTGGACGAGCGTTGTATCTGACATTGCCTGTTTAATAATAATGTTGACAACTGGACGAATGGTCTTTAGAATATACATTTAAGCATTTGTTTTGGGAAATTTTGCTTAAGCACAATTGTACAAACATATTTTGCCTATTTTTAAGCAGCGTATATTGGATCAAGCAGTTTAATAAGGTCCCGGGTATTTTCGTCAGCAAAATATTTTTTTGTGTAAATACCCCTTTCACTCTCATGTCATGCAATTTTATTTACGAAAAGCACTTTTCTCAGAGCATACTCATAAAGAAACGGGTGGATACAAGGGTCGCCATGTTTGCTCAGACGTTGACGATCAGTTTCATTTCACACTAAAGATTTCCTTTATAATTTGAATGTACAAACACAAAATTAAGACCGTAATATCGGAAGAGATACTGAAGTTACACAATGTAAACAGGGATATTATGTATAAAATGCAAAGCGTATTGATTTAAATAAGTAATTTTGTATTCTCTATTTGTATTTTAAATCTATAATTTTATTACACTATTTTCGACAAAAATTGCATCAAGGACCAATATTACCTTTTCTACAGTATGGCATATATACCGATAAGCTTAACTTAAGATTGATAAAGCATTGCATTGAACGTGCACAGACGAGCGTTTGGTTCGTCATAGCATACATGCATTTGCCCAGCTTGTACATCAAGAATGACATTTAGTGTGCGTCATAAATTCGCTCTGCTTGTAAGTGTGGTTCTCGTACCGGTGTAAAAGATTTACAGTTTCAACATTATGGGATGGATAGGTGTTTACATTGTTAAACGGATGTGAAGCTTCGAGTGATCTGATTCGTTCTCGTGGGAGAGTTTAAAGGCTTGGCACGGTACGAGCGACTTGTGTGATTCACCCCAGTCTTGGTGAGGCACGTGACAAAACAACTGACGGACACACGGTCCCAGCAAGTATATTGTCGGCTATATGGTTGTAGGTGACCCGCATACACGCAGCTAAACTGTCCGTGGTCACGAAGGTGTCCCAGTTACCACTGAGTATAGGACGTGAGTAGACAGACTATAGTGTCTGGTGATTCTGACGATTTGAAAGACGCCATCATGACCTGCTCACTGTGTCGCCTTTCCCTCTACGTAATCTCCCTGCCTGCTGTGGTCGTCGGCTTCAACCTCACCATCCTCCACACCAACGACATTCACGCCAGATTCGAACAGACCAACAAATACAGTGGCCAGTGCCAAGCCGATGATGTGACAGAGGGGAAATGTTTTGGTGGGACAGCGCGACTTGTGACCAAAGTCCGTGAACAGCGCTCCCTCCATTCCAACACCATCCTCCTGTCGGCAGGGGACGAATATTCGGGGACGTTGTGGTTCTACAAGTACCAAGGTGCCGTTGTGGCCAAATTCATGAACCTGTTGCAGTATGACGTCATGGTGAGTAGATGAACATGAATTGTGACGTCATGGTGAGTAGATGAACATGTATTGTGACGTCATGGTGAGAAGATGAACATGTTACAACGTGACGTCATAATAAAACCGTAATCATTTTGTAACACACTCCGGCGCAGGGGTGGCTTAGCATAGCACCACTGCCACAGGCTAATTTGCATATCACTTCTCTCTTGTTTGTAAGCAAACGCGCTTTCTCATGGAATAAAACGGACTTATGCAAGTATTTTGGGGTGCTTAAAATATTGTTTCGCATAATTATATATATAGAGAATCTCACCCGAGTGTCTGTTGATATTAAATATATCAACACGAGTTGATAAAAGTGGAAAAATTCCGAGGCTTGCTGAGGATTTTTGCCACTTTTATCAACGAGTGTTGATATATTTGATATCAAAAGACACGAGGGTGAGATTTTATTTATCATCCAACATCATTCTTCCAACTTTTTCAATTTGTAGACAGTAATTAGCAGTGTTTTCAGTGTAAAAAGTACTGCTAACAGCTTCAGTAGCAGAGCCATTAGTGATGTCATTTGATTGTGACGTCATGGTAACCAGTGACGTCACAATGGTCTGCAAAGCATTGTGATGTAATTTCATTGCAGCGATATTTACAGTGTAGATATCGCTTGATCTAATCCAAGCGATATCTCCTGTGGGAGCCAGTTTTGGATGATAAATATGCTACTACAACTGCGACAGTGAGTTGCATGACAATACATATTTACACATCAAAGTGACCGTATCGCTTGCTCTCCGTAGATTTCGATGACAGCACGTGGAGCCGTACAACCAATGTAAACATAGGATACCTACGCAAATGGAAATAGTTTTGCACGATTTAGTATATTTTCTCAAGGAAAGTTAACCATTTTATAGCATGTTTATCTAGATATGTAGACTTATCAAAAATGAAATAGATGAAAAACACATGCAATGTTTTGAATGGACTGTATAAGATGTGACGAATCGTCACATGGCGCTGGCCTGTGGCAGAGGTACGAAGCTTGTCGCACGGAACTCTGGGTAGAAGAGTGATTTTGCAATATGTCATTATGATGCAAAATCTCGCAGTATGACGTCATGGCAAGCACAGTGTCCCATGTACACACCTCCCCATGCATAGTTTCTATACTGAATGCCACTCGCCCGAAAAGCCTTGGTGTTTTAATGAAAGGTAAAGATGTATACCATGTCGGGTATATATTGCTAACGATGACTGGTACCTCTTGTATTCAGCAGCGGCCGCCTGTTGCGTACAATGACGACAACCCACTGCATACAGCGACGATAACCCACTGCATACAATGACGACAACCCACGGCATACAATGACGACAACCAACTGCATACAACGACGACAGCCCACTGCGTACCATGACGACAACCCACTGCATACAAAGAAGACAACCCACTGCATACAAAGAAGACAACCCGCTGCATACAATGACGACAACCCACTGTATACAACGACGACGACAACCCACTGCATACAATGACGACAACCCACAACCAGCTGGATACAATGACGGGTCTCGGCTGAATACAATGACAGGAATATGCAAAATGCAATGACGATAACCTGCTAAATACAATGACAGGAATATACTAACATAATAGTAACTGAATCATTCTTTTTTCACAAACATACTCAAACAACTCTATTCGTCTTATCAATCCGGCCCCTTCACGTAATGGAGAAGACACCAGCAAGTGCCATGCTTGAAAAGTGGTATCAATGCACAAAGGTTGACGCACAATAGGTCCAGATGCATACACGTTTCCTATGTGAAGTCGACTTCTTAAATTTGAACTCGATTGTTTGGCATTTGTATACTCTTGATTTCTTTTGGCACCAAAACAATTTTCACTGTTATACATCAAGGTCGATCGTTTCTTTGGCATGTATGTTAAGGGCTGGTCATTTAGATAAATTATACTCTCAAAGTTACAGTCTGACTGGGGCGGTCGGGTAGCCTAGCGGTTAAAGCGTTCGCTCGACACGCTGTCTCCGATGAGAAGGCATGCGGACATTGGACTGGCCCGCTAAGTACCTAACATGTCCCCAATATAGTATTTGTGTGATGTTTTCGGTCAGGGACAGTACGCCAGAAACCAAGAACCAACGTGGTCCAGCTCGGGGTAGGTCCTCAGGCGGTATAGCGGGCAATACCAAAGGCAACCATCCCCAAGATTATCAATAGTATGCCACAAAGGTGTCGTGCATTATCGCCCAATATAGCAGACACACCCCGAATTCATCTACACGCCCAGAATTAATTTTACATACGTTTATCGTCGTTATACCTTCACTATCATTTCATCAGTGCCCTTATTTTTTGTCGGTAGTTTAATTCTTTTGCGTTACGGGAAATATTACCCTTGCGCGCAACAGTTCTTAAAAAGCACATTCATTGTTTTTTATCAATCTCCTAGGCCCTGGGAAATCACGAGTTTGACCTCGGCATCGAAGGGTTGATACCCTTCCTCAACGACGTCAACTTCACCGTGGCCAGCGCCAACATCGATGCTACAGGCGAGCCTTTGGTGGAAAACAAGCTGATGAAACATACAGTGTTGACGGTCGGGGATGAACGTATCGGGGTCATCGGGTACACTACAACAGAGACGCCGTTAATCTCGTCACCAGGTAAAACCAGGCCCCGAAACCAGGAAGTACAAGTGACACGACCAGCATTCTTATTGTACAACAGAAGCACTCCCAATGCAGCGTGGTTGCACGGAGTGTGCTATTTGGTTTAATGATAAGTTTCATTTGATCATCTTTTTAAGGTTCTGTCTCAGAATAACTAACACAAATGTGTCGTTTCCAGGGCCAAGTTTAAGATTTGAAGATGAGGTTGCTGCAATCCAGAGAGAGGTTAACACCCTGACGTCACAGGGCATCAATAAGATCATTGCCGTTGGTCACTCGGGATTTGATGTTGACCAACGAATAGCAGCAGAGGTCAATAACCTGGATGTAGTGGTCGGAGGTCACACTAACACCTTCCTTTATACAGGTAGGACAATAACATGCACACGAACACGCACACGCACACTCACATCCACACCCACACCCACACCCACATCCACATCCACATCCACACTCACATCCACACTCACATCCACACCCACATCCACACCCACACCCGCACTCACACCCACACCCACACCCAAACCCAAACCCACATCCACACCCACACCCACATCCACACCCACACCCACACCCACACCCACATCCACACCCACACCTTCATCCACATCCACACCAACACCCACATCCACATCCACCACCACGTCCACACCCACATCCACACCAACACCCACATCCACATCCACATCCACACCAACACCCACATCCACACCCACATCCACATCCACACCAACACCCACATCCACATCCACACCCACACCCACACCCAGACCCACACCAACATCCACATCCACACCCACATCCACATCCACACCCACACCCACACCCACATCCACACCCACACCCACACCCACATCCACATCCACACCCACATCCACATCCACACCCACACCCACACCCACACCCACACCCACACCCACACCCACATCCACATCCACACCCACATCCACACCCACATCCACACCCACACCCACACCCACACCCACATCCACACCCACACCTTCATCCACATCCACACCAACACCCACATCCACATCCACCACCACGTCCACACCCACATCCACACCAACACCCACATCCACATCCACATCCACACCCACACCCACATCCACACCCACATCCACATCCACACCAACACCCACATCCACATCCACACCCACACCCACACCCAGACCCACACCAACATCCACATCCACACCCACATCCACATCCACACCCACACCCACACCCACATCCACACCCACACCCACACCCACACCCACACCCACACCCACATCCACACCCACATCCACATCCACACCAACACCCACATCCACATCCACACCCACACCCACACCCAGACCAACACCCACACCCACATCCACATCCACACCAACACCCACATCCACATCCACACCCACACCCACACCCACATCCACACCCACACCCACACCCACACCCACACCCACATCCACATCCACACCCACACCAACACCCACACCCACACCCACATCCACACCCACACCCACACCCACACCCACACCCACATCCACATCCACACCCACATCCACACCAACACCCACACCCACATCCACACCCACACCCACACCCACATCCACATCCACACCCACACCCACATCCACACCCACACCCACACCCACATCCACACCCACACCCACATCCACATCCACACCCACACCCACACCCACACCCACACCCACACCCACACCCACATCCACATCCACACCCACACCCACACCCACATCCACATCCACACCCACACCCACATCCACACCCACACCCACACCCACACCCACACCCACATCCACACCCACATCCACACCAACACCCACACCCACATCCACACCCACACCCACACCCACACCCACATCCACATCCACACCCACACCCACATCCACACCCACACCCACACCCACATCCACACCCACATCCACATCCACACCCACATCCACACCAACACCCACACCCACATCCACACCCACACCCACACCCACATCCACATCCACACCCACACCCACATCCACACCCACACCCACACCCACATCCACACCCACACCCACATCCACGTCCACACCCACACCCACACCCACATCCACATCCACACCCACATCCACATCCACATCCACATCCACACCCACATCCACACCCACACCCACACCCACACCCACACCCACACCCACATCCACACCCACATCCACACCCACACCCACACCCACATCCACATCCACACCCACATCCACATCCACATCCACATCCACACCCACATCCACATCCACACCCACATCCACATCCACATCCACATCCACACCCACATCCACACCCACACCCACATCCACACCCACACCCACATCCACATCCACACCCACATCCACACCCACACCCACATCCACACCCAGACCAACACCCACACCCACATCCACATCCACATCCACACCCACACCCACACCCACACCCACACCCACATCCACATCCACATCCACACCCACACCCACACCCACACCCACATCCACAGCTAGATCAACACCCACAGGAGCACGCAATCAGCATCTTCATCCAGCATAACTACACCCACGCCATCATTAACGTCCACGTCCACATCACCGCCCACATACAAACAAGCATACACTTATACAACAGTTTCTACATGGCGTAGAGGCTGCCATAGCTGAAGGAACATTAAAACCATTAATGGGTCTTCTTCTCACGTGAGTTTGGGACCCGTGGAGATCCGGGCTAGGCTTGGTCTTCAGGAATCCATACTTGTCATAAGAGGCAACTAATGGGTTCGGTTGGTCAGGCTCGCTGACACGTCATCGTATCAACTTTGCGTAGATCGATGCTCATGATGTCAACCACTGGATTGTCTGGTGTGGCGTTAAACAGCAAGCAAGCAAGCAAGCAAACAAACAAACAAACAAACAAACAAACAAACAAACAAACAAACAAACAAACAAACAAGCAAACAAACAAACAAACAAAGCCTGTAAGGAGGGGAAGCAATGGGGAAAAGTATGTACATTTTCTAGCGTTTTGTCATAGCTTATAAACATTGTAGCGCTTTGTAACGAGCACACTTGACACTGATTTGTTGCTGCCAAAATTTAAGTATGCTTGTACAAATACTACTACTACTACTACTACTACTACTACTACTACTACTACTACTACTACTACTACTTATCTCGAAGGTACAGATATATAATGTGGATGATACTGACTGATGTTGTGTCAGTGATTGTGGACACGTCTAGATTTAGAAAATAGGCAAAATGGCTGACCGCGGTCAAACAGCTGTAATATTGCTGAGTGCGGCGTTAAAAGACAAACAAACAAAACAAACACACACATGGGTTTGGAGTACGCACATATAGCATATAATAAACGTCCCTTATATGAACGGATTAGAAGTACTATTTTGCTTGCATTTAATTAAGTCATGAAAATTGTCTATCTGACCTCTTAAACCAAGCTGTTATTGCTCCTACATTTTGCACGTCATGTCAAACAAGTCATGGACTGCCTTTTTTCAGGCGACCACCCGTCCAATGAGGAACCGGAAGGAGAGTACCCCCACGTGGTGACCCAGTCGGGAGGGGCCAAGGTGCTCGTGGTGCAGGACTATGCTTACGGGAAGTATCTTGGAGCTCTGGAAGTGACCTTTGACCCGGAAGGTGTCATCACGTCATGGGGAGGCAACCCAATCCTACTAGACAACAAAACAGCACAAGGTTGGTTTTGTCTACTGTGTCAATGGTCAAAGTTTATGCAAGCCATTTCCACTACCAGAGACGATGATATGGTCAACTTTGGGGAGAAATCAGATTCGCAGGTGATATTGAGTATTCGATCAACTTGACCGACTGCTTTAATTGAACGAAATTATATTGTGTATTCGGTTGACTTTCTTTCCAAACAGAACCACTTCGTTTGCGTTATGCGTTCAGATTCGCAGTTGATATAGAGTATCCGAAGCCGATTAGACTGACAGCGAACATTAAGGCAATGGGTTCATCAGAGAATTCATTACTTTGACTTCATGACTACAAATCCGCTTGGCTCGCAGTAACAGGAGCAAAGGTTTTTCTCTCAAATACCAAACACCTAAAGCCTAATTGAGCACCTAATACAATATATTCACTTATAAAATAACATTTGTTTTAAATCGTATCCTATATTTGTTTATGTTTACAAAAGTGACATACTCATTTTGAAATAGGGACACCAAAGTTAATTATGTAATAATGTATTTAGTAACCGTGACCATATGGAGTGAGTGAGTGAGTGAGTTTTGTTTTACGCCGCTTTAAGCAATATTCCAGCAATATCACGACTGGGAACGCCAGAAATGGGCTTCACACATTGTACCCATGTCGGGATACGAACCCGGATCTTCGGCTTAAAGAGAGAACGCTTTAACCACTGTGCTACCCCACCCACCCCGTGACCATCGGGAGGAACACATCAGTTATCGGTAGCTTCCAAGATATTTTTCAAAATGAGATCAGTGCCATATGGAGACGGTTCCAAAAGATACATGGTTATTAGATTTCATGTCCTCGGGTATTCTTGTAGGCGTATTTTCAAAAACTCCGAGATGCGACACACATCCCTTTACATATGTCCGAGAAGACCAACAAATTACGACCAACGCCCCTGTGTTTGTCTTCTAGATGAGATGACCCTGGAGCTGATGCAGCCATACAAGGAGGGCGTGGCTAACGAGTCAGGCACGGTGGTGGCCAGAAGCTATGTGATGCTTGACGGGGACAGGTCCTCCTGTAGGGTCAAAGAGTGTAATATGGGTAAGTTAAAAACAACATGAATTTATGTGATGGCCCGAGTTGTAACTTTTCATATTTCGCCGCCGTGAGACTTCACACCTGTCATCCAAGCTCCTGAGCGAGGATCGGAGTCTTGGGTAGTTCCAGGTCACGTGCCCAAATAGAAGTAAAAGGGACACAAATTCTTCCCCTACTCATAAGAAACCTCTGCTAAAAGCAGACATTCTGAGTGATTTACAAAATGGCTGCAGGAAAGGGCGGTCAACGTTAGACCACCTGTTTACCATTACTACCATTATCGAAACCAGAAAATTGATGAAAAAGTCCACCTTATGGCATGCATAGATTTTAAAAAGGCTTATGATTGGATCGACTGAGAAAATCTTTGTAACAAACTAAATGAGTGGGATGTGAGAGGGAGGATGTTTTCGGCTATCAGGTCGTTGTGTACGAGTCAACCAAGAGTGTACCGATTGGTTTACTGTAAATAGAGGCTTGAAACAGGGTTGCCTTTTATCGCCTCTTCTACTCGATATGTACGTTAATGATCTGATTCATCTCAGTGAGTTAGGGAAAAGAATTGATGTAAACGGTGAAGTTATCAGTGTATTAACATACGCGGACGATATTGTATTTTTGGCTGAAATTGAAGAGGATGCTGTCAGCACTGCACACCAGGACCCACTTGCACAAAGCGATCTTAGCGCTAAGATGATCGTAACTCCCATACTTTAACATAGGCTTACAATAGCCGTAGCGCTAAGATCGCTTTGTGCAAATGGGCCCTGGTGTTTCGAGAATAAGATGTCCATTAAGCAAGGGAAGTCAAGTGTAGTCCACTTTAGAGTACCTTCCCCGCCAAGAATGGAAGTACATTTTTGGTGTGGTGATATGAGTTTGGAAGAGAAGGACCAATACTTCTACCTGGGGCTGATCCTAACTGAGCACCTGAACTACAATATCATGGCTATATGCGCGTTAATTCTGCAAGTAGAGCTTTGGGTCTGCTGATTTCGAAATACAAAAAGCCTGGGTGGTTTGCCTTTCAACGTTTTCACGAAACTTTATGATTCAATGGTTTGGTCTATCCTCGATTATTGAACTGTCATCTGGGGAACGTATGATCGTTAACATCTAGCACATAACGCCCTTCATCATAGAGCTATCCGTTTTTTCATGGGATGGGGAAAGTATGCAGCCAATGCGAGTGTTATTGGAGACGTCGTTTGCACCCCGCCAACTGTGAGGCAATGGTCAGCTATGGCCAGATCATACGCGCGCCTGGTCAACATGTGAAACAGAAGAGTGAATAAAAGGATTTTTCTGTGGTCAGTTAGCTGTTACAGAAAGAATTGGTCGCTCAGTAAAGTTTTACCTACAAGCAAACGGACTGGAGTACCGAGCGTCTGCTAATGGGCCAATTGAGAAACGTTTATTTGCTGAGATAGTTCATAATGTTGCTTACGGCAAAAACTCTTAGAAAAACCTAGGTATAACCGTTGTAGTACTAGTTTCAATAAGTTGCGAAATTATAGAAATTATAAACAGTTTTATCAGCCCCAGCATTTTAACTTTAAGACGGGGTATTTTATATGAATGATGTATAGGCCTATATTTTATTTAATATATAAATTTATATTGTTTAAGTGTCTCCCATAAATCACTAAGCGATTGGTTGTTAATTTGTGTTTCCCGTGAGACTTAAATAAAAATATCTAATTTTAAACCTAGACGAATTTAAGCAATGGCCTCAGTTGTAGCTCTTTTAAATTTGACTCCACACCTGTCATCAAAGCTGTCGAGCGGGAATCGGAGTCTTGGATAGTTCCAGGTCATGTTTCCAACGAGAAAAAAACCCCATCTGCAACCTATTGAGGGTCATATAACTTATATATTCACTCCTCATCCTCTCATCCCCTACCCCACCCTCACTCTCACCCACACCCCACCCTCTCTCTCACCCCCACTCTCACCCTCACTCCCACCCTGTACCCTCCCTCTCACCCCCACCCCACCCTCTCTCTCACCCTCACTCTCACCCCACCCCCACTCTCACCCTCACTCCCACCCTCACCCTCCCTCTCACCCCCACCCTCCCTCTCACCCACACCCCACCCTCTCTCTCACCCTCACGCTCCCTCTCACCCCACCCCACCCTCTCTCTCACCCTCACCCTCCCTCTCACCCCCACCCTCACCCTCACCCTCACCCTCACCCGGAACCTCACTCTCATCCTCACCCTCACCCTCCTTCTCACGCTCCTTCTCACCCTCACCCGGACCCTCAGCCTCAGCCTCAGCCTCCCTCTCACCCTCACTCTCACCCTCACCCTCACTCTCACCCTCCTCCGCACCCTCCTCCGCACCCTTACCCTCACTCTCACTCTCACCCTCACTCTCACCCTCACCCTCACCCTCACCCTTCTCCGCACCCTCATCCTCACCCTCACCTCATCCTCACCCTCCCTCTCACTCTTACCCTCATCCTCACCCTTACCCTCATTCTCACCCACACCCTCATCCTCACCCTCATCCTTACCCTCCCTCTCACTCTTACCCTCACCCTCACCCTCACCCTCATCCTCACCCTCACTCTAACCCTCACCCTCCTCCGCACCCTCACTCTCACTCTCACTCTCACTCTCACTCTCACTCTCACCCTCACCCTCACCCTCACTACATTTATTTTTGGATGGACTCCTCGGACATGCATCCCTGATAGTGTCTAACTAACGTGTATATGTATTCATGTATTCTTTGCCCCAGGTAACCTGATTGCGGACGGTATGGTGCACCAGAACCTGAAGCACAGCGACTCCCTGGAATGGAACCACGTGGCCATCGCTTTTATGAACGGGGGCGGCATCCGGACGTCAATAGAGAGAGGTACTTCTGACCAACACAGTTCTCATATAGCGAGATTATTGTCTTCTGAAAATTACGATGACATACAGAGAGCTCACTCTCTGACAAACGTTTTGATAAAGTCCCCATTCATAACGAAATGTTTTTCATACATTTGGTAATTATTTTCTTCAATTGTTTGTTATTCTGCATCCCAATCCCAATGTTCCGTCCTTGTAATCAACTGGTTTCGTCTCTTCTCTGTCTGGCCTCTCCAAACCAGACTTTCTGAGGACTCTTTTCTCAACATAGTGATCATTCTGTTGATGGTATTTTCAGGTGACTTCACTATCGGCGACATCCTGACAGTTCTACCATTCCGGAACACCGTGGACATCGTTGAGTTGCGGGGAAAACATGTCCGGGAGACTCTGGAGTTCACGGCGTCCAAGTGGGTGGAGAACACGAGTAATTTATTCGGAGGTTTCCTCCAGGTGTCTGGTACGTGTTTCCACATGACGACCGTAAAGGCCATTATAAGCAACGTACATTTGTCAGTCTTATCAAGGATCCAGATGCAAGAACAACTGACCTTCCTAACGTCATTTAACAACAGTATCAAGGCATTTGTCCTGTAGCTGTGGATATTTGTTTGTTTGTTGTTCAACGCCGCAGTAAGTAATATTCCAGGTATATGACGACGGTCTGTAAATAATCGAATCTGGGCCAGACAATCCAGTTATTGATATCATGAACATCAATCTACGCAGTTAGGATGTGATGACATGCATCTACCAAGTAAGCGACCCTGACCACCTGATCCCGGTAGTCGCCTTTTACGGCAAGCATAGTCTCCTTTAGCGGCAAGCATAGTCTCCTCTAGCGGCAAGCATTGGTTGCCGAAGACGTATTCGAACCCGGAATCTTCACGGATAGCTAGTTACGGTTACAAAATGTACAGTAATTTAAAATAGAAATACACTGAATTCGATCGCAACCTGCTGCATATTTGCACTGCTCGGGCTCAACCAAGTCATTTCATAGAAATCAACATAACATATCCTATTGTAGGGGTTAAAATTTTAATATAGAGGAAAAAATGCTCAAACAAATTTCATGACAAGATGTATTAATGAAATATTTTCCCAACAGTAATACGTAATACGAAAGTGTTTAGACAACACTAGCAAGCAGCTATGATTAACAAGCAGCTCCGAAGCTGCCTTTATAAGGTGTTAAATAACAAAAGGGAGCAGTTGGGAACCTGCCTTTATTTATAAGGTGTAAGACAACATAAGCAAGCAGCTACGAAGTTGCCTTTAGGAGGTGTTAAAAGACATCAGCAAACAGCTACGAAACTGCCTTTATGAAGTGCTGGACAATATAAGGAGGCTGGTAGGAAACTGCCTTTATATGATGCGAGACAACATTAGCAAGGTGCTGGGAAACTGTCTTTATGAGGTGTTAGACAACATTAGCAAGGTGCTGGGAAACTGTCTTTATGAGGTGTTAGACAACATCAGCAAGCGGCTGGGAAACTGTCTTTATGAGGTGTTAGACAACATCAGCAAGCGGCTGGGAAACTGTCTTTATGAGGTGTTAGACAACATCAGCAAGCGGCTGGGAAACTGTCTTTATGAGGTGTTAGACAACATCAGCAAGCGGCTGGGAAACTGTCTTTATGAGGTGTTAGACAACATTAGCAAGCGGCTGGGAAACTGTCTTTATGAGGTTTTAGACAACATTAGCAAGCGTCTGGGAAACTGTCTTTATGAGGTGTTAGACAACATTAGCAAGCGGCTTGGAAACTGTCTTTATGAGGTGTTAGACAACATTAGCAAGCGGCTGGGAAACTGTCTTTATGAGGTGTTAGACAACATTAGCAAGCGGCTGGGAAACTGTCTTTATGAGGTGTTAGACAACATCAGCAAGCGGCTGGGAAACTGTCTTTATGAGGTGTTAGACAACATCAGCAAGCGGCTGGGAAACTGTCTTTATGAGGTGTTAGACAACATCAGCAAGCGGCTGGGAAACTGTCTTTATGAGGTGTTAGACATTAGCAAGTATCTACAAAGCAGCCTCTTAAACGTTACTCAACAGTAATGTGTTATCTGTTCATACAATATTAACAAGATTCTAATAAAAAATCATTGCTATCCCAATTTTGACTCACAAATCCACACATGGTGAAGCAAGCCCTCCTCGTGTTTCCACAGCATATGTGAACTATCCTGGTGTTTAGACACCATCAGAAAGGCAGAGATAATCACCTTTCAAGTAACATTGCAAGAGACTGTAAGGCATCGTTAACATTTGAAGGAAGTATATAAGTTTTTTCAATTATCGTCACCAGGTATGAAAATTGTGTACGACATGGCGATGCCTGTAGGTCAACGGGTAACAGAGGTCAAGGTCAGATGCACCAACTGCTCGGTGCCCCATTACGTGGATCTCGAGGACACCGAGGTATACAAGATCATCATGCCTTCCTTTATTGCCAATGGTGGCGACGGATATGACGTCATCAACAAGAACAAGATCAAACATCATCTGTTTGGTAAGAAAGTTAGGTGTTGTCAAACTATTACGCGTAAGAATGCGTTATCGCTGTGGTTTGCAAAATATGCATGATAGGCTTGACGCAGCACTGCAAGGAAAAAGGGGCGCTTCGCTTTGTGCAATATCCAACATCACCGGATATAAATTAGTCCTCCCTTCTGTCCAGTCGCAATTCTGTCAGTGAGTCTTGTCATTATTCCTTTGCACGTGGGCTGTTTAGTCTCTGGTAGGTGATCACCTACCAGTACATGTTGGAGATTTTACGAACGCTTTCATCATTGTTGACCACGCACTCCATATTTCACGATTAGGTTGCTTTCAGTGAAAATATGTGTGAATATTGTTGCAGGGGATGTGGACGCCGACGTATTTATTGAATACGCCAAGAGCTTTTCACCCCTCACCACAGGTCTGGAGGGTCGCATAACATTGCGGAAGGTGGCCACGTGCCCTTGTCGCGAGACCAGTGACGTCACCCGACCAATACCACAGCTCCTCACATCGACAGTTGGAGTCATTATGATGATTGTTCTGATTATTTAAGTAGCATTCATAGTAAAGAGACTTGTATCGAGATCACAGGAGCGACTGCAGTGATCGTTATTTTTCTTATGTGATATAATTCCTATATATATTCCTCGGGATATTGATGGACAGTGTGTTGTGCATGAATGTGACCATCTCGAGATGTGACTTGGTAGTGTGTTGTGACTGGGTGTCACCTTCTGGACATGTGTCTTGACAGTACGTCACGAATGGATGTGACAATCTTGACATGTGTCTTGACAGTACGTCACGAATGGATGTGACAATCTTAACATGTGTCTTGACAGTACGTTGTGAATGGATGTGACAATCTTGACATGTGTCTTGACAGTATGTCATTAATGGATGTGACAATCTTGACATGTGTCTTGACAGTACGTCTAGAATGGATGTGACAATCTTAACCTGTGTCCTGACAGTACGTCATGAATGGATGTGACAATCTTGACATGTGTCTTGACAGTATGTCATTAATGGATGTGACAATCTTGACATGTGTCTTGACAGTATGTCATTAATGGATGTGACAATCTTGATATGTGTCTTGACAGTACGTTGTGAATGGATGTGACAATCTTGATATGTGTCTTGACAGTATGTCATTAATGGATGTGACAATCTTGACATGTGTCTTGACAGTATGTCATTAATGGATGTGACAATCTTAACCTGTGTCTTGACAGTATGTCATTAATGGATGTGACAATCTTGACATGTGTTCTGACAGTATGTCATTAATGGATGTGACAATCTTGATATGTGTCTTGACAGTACGTTGTGAATGGATGTGACAATCTTGATATGTGTCTTGACAGTATGTCATTAATGGATGTGACAATCTTGACATGTGTCTTGACAGTATGTCATTAATGGATGTGACAATCTTGACATGTGTCTTGACAGTATGTCATTAATGGATGTGACAATCTTAACCTGTGTCTTGACAGTATGTCATTAATGGATGTGACAATCTTGACATGTGTCTTGACAGTACGTTGTGAATGGATGTGACAATCTTGACATGTGTCTTGACAGTACGTCATGAATGGATGTGACAATCTTGACATGTGTCTTGACAGTATGTCATTAATGGATGTGACAATCTTAACCTGTGTCTTGACAGTATGTCATTAATGGATGTGACAATCTAGACATGTGTCTTGACAGTATGTCATGAATGGATGTGACAATCTTAACCTGTGTCTTGACAGTATGTCATTAATGGATGTGACAATCTTAACCTGTGTCTTGACAGTACGTCATGAATGGATGTGACAATCTTGACATGTGTCTTGACAGTATGTCATGAATGGATGTGACAATCTTAACCTGTGTCTTGACAGTATGTCATTAATGGATGTGACAATCTAGACATGTGTCTTGACAGTATGTCATGAATGAATGTGACAATCTTCACGTGTCTTGACAGTATGTCATTAATGTATGTGACAATCTTAACCTGTGTCTTGACAGTACGTCATGAATGAATGTGACAATCTTGACATTTGTCTTGACAGTATGTCATTAATGGATGTGACAATCTAGACATGTGTCTTGACAGTATGTCATGAATGGATGTGACAATCTTAACCTGTGTCTTATATCTGGGCAGGGGTACCCGGGGTGAGATATCAGGGTTTTGCTGAGCTTGGGTATTAAGTTATGTGACACAATCTTAAATACAGAGTTGCCTCCCCCTAATTGCTACGATTGCATGGGTAGGCTTTGTTTACCGTTTGTACTCACTAATCACTGTCTTTTTGCGCAATCTCTGTGATATTCTCTTCATGCAATAAACATTACAAGTTTAACATTTTGGTGCATGTACTTAATACATTACCTATTCGAATGCCAAATCGTCCATGAACACATCACTCACCATTAAGTCAGTTATAACTGACGATAACAATCGCCTAGGTCACTATCCAGATACATACTGAAGGTACCAAAAGACTATATGATCACTATCCAGAAACATACTGACGATAACAATCACCTTAGGCACTATCCAGATAGTTAGAGACGGCATAAGAAGTCTATGTCACTACCCCGATGTATACTGACGGTAACAGAAGCCTATGTCACTATCCAGATATATACTGACGGCAACACAAATCTAGGTCACTTTCCAGAACTATGGAGGCGATAACACTATGTAGGGATTGTTCACTCTAAAGCCTAGGTCACAACCAGATATATATTGACGGTAACAAAGGCCTAGGTCACTTTCCTGATATATATTGACGATAACAAAGCCCTAGGTCACTATCCTGATATATATTGACGATAACAAAGGTCTAGGTCACTATCTTGATATATATTGACGGTAACAAAGGCCTTGGTCACTATCTTGATATATATTGACGGTAACAAAGGCCTAGGTCACTATCCTGATATATATATATTGACGATAACAAATGCCTAGGTCACTATCCTGATATATATTGACGATAACAAAGGCCTAGGTCACTATCCTGATATATATTGACGATAACAAAGGCCTAGGTCACTATCCTGATATATATTGACGATAACAAATGCCTAGGTCACTATCCTGATATATATTGACGGTAACAAAGGCCTAGGTCACTTTTCTTATATATATTGACAGTAACAAAAGCCTAAGTCACAACCAGATAGATATTGACGGTAACAAAAGCCTCGGTCACTATACAGATATATATTGACGGTAAATAAAGCGACAAAAATATCTGTTAAAAGCATAGTCGATTGTACGATTCCGATTATGTCATCAGCATGTGTTTATGAGTCACTATCAAATAGTAATGGCACGAGGTGTTCGCGCAAAGGTGAGCGTATCCTGCCCCATCGGTGACACCCGTCACAAAAACATGCAAAGGCGAGTCAATTGTTTACCTGAAAAAACCACACGGTAACATATGGTACAAATCAAGATAGGGAATTGCATCGGACATAATTTTTCTCACTGACGCGTCAATTTTTGGAAATTAATGTCCTCCACGTGACTACCATAAAACCTTTTGAAAGCTTCACTAAGGCCTTGACTGTTGTAACCTTGATCAAACAGCTTCTGAGCAGGAGTCGTGTGATGCTCTTTGAAATCTTGGCTCGACTGTATCGCAAAATATGTAAAATGTAAACACAAAAGGCTGGGGCTGCTGGAATATTGGCTACTGGGAAAGTTGACTTTTCCGATTCATATGCATAAAGAAACAGATCCTCAAGAAGGGGAGCACAATTGGTGCCCGTGGTAATGCCTCATCCTTGCCTAAATGGCTTACCCCCAAATTTAACGTAGATGTTATCCATGAGTAAGTCCAGCATTTCACATATTGTTTTCTCAGTAAAACTCAGATGGAATTTGCTTTCATTTTTCACAAAATGTCCTGAACATCTGAATATAGAAATGTAACTTATCTGTGTTCACCACGTTTTGTAACGAAAGCCCCATGGATCAAGAAATGAAGATTTCCTTAAGTTTGTCATGTGGGATAGTGGTGTACAAAGTTGAAAAATCAAATGGTTTGACAAAATGGAACTTGGTTCTTTTCTGAGATTGCAAAAAGTCAAGCAGATCCTTTTTTGAGAATCCACAAGGTATTATTTCCACTTGTCTAAAGCACTTTCTGTGAATATAAAGAAAGTCCTTCCTTGATTGAATTATGGATTGTGGTTAGTCTTTGAGACAGGGGTTTGGTGGTACATTTGCCTGACCCAGCAACATATCTCTCTCTTTGTATGGACTTTTTTTGAGCTTTTGAATCCTGTTCAAAAGAGGAATGGACATGTCAAGTCAAAAGTTGACAGAACTGATTTATGGTTGGGCAGATTTCGTCCTCAGTTATCATACTGGCCTTATATGTGACATTATTTCATATGTCATTTATACCAAGGTCTTTGGTCAAACAATGAATGCAGTGAGGCTTACATATAATGGTTATGTTATTTGAGGCCTTGTCAGTGGGACAACTACAAACCCTTCATGCAGGGAGGCCAGACTTGGGATGACAGCTGGCTGGGACAGAATGGTTTTATTACAAATCCGTATGCTCTATTTAAGTTTATGCCTGCTACCAATGACAAGATCACGCATTGATTTAGACCACTCTGAAAGATATTCAACAGGTTCCTCTTTGGCATATTCTTCGACAGCATCCACAATGATTTTAAAGTCGTGATCCAAATTGGTAGGAGGTTGCTCACTGTATCTTGGTCCATATTTGAATAACTGACGAAGGTTGTCATTGTCAACAATAGAAAAGTCAAACAACAACCGCACTTAGTCATATACCGATAGATAACGACTGTAACAAAGGCCTACATGTAGGCCACTTTCCTGATACATATTGACGGTAACACTAGCCTTAGCTCACTATCCTGTTTCTTGATATATATGCTGACGATAACAAAAATTAAGGTCACTTTCCAGAAATATAGTGACAATAGAAAACGCATCGGTCACTATCCAGATAGATACTAACTGTAACAAAAGCCCAGGTCATTTTCCAAATAGATATTGACGGTACCAAAAGACCAAGGTCACTATCCTGATACCAGATATATACTGACTGTAACTATCCAGATAGATATTGACGGTAACAAACGTCTCAGTCACTATCCAGATCGATATTGTCGGCAACAAAAGCCTAGCTTACTATCCTGATTGATACAGACGGTAATAAAGGCTTAGGTTACTTCCCTGATATATATTGACGGTACCAAAAGACTAGACCACTATCGCCTTGGTCACTATCCATATATATATTGAACGTAACAAACCCCATGGTCATTATCCAGATATATATGGAATGTAACAAATGCATTGGTCACTTTTAAGATATATATTGAATGTAACAAACGCATTGGTAACTTTTAAGATATATATGGAATGTAACAAACGCATTGGTCACTTTTAAGATATAGATGGAATGTAACAAATGCATTGGTCACTTTTAAGATATATATGGAATGTAACAAATGCATTGGTCACTTTTAAGATATATATGGAATGTAACAAATGCATTGGTCACTTTTAAGATATATATGGAATGTAACAAATGCATTGGTCACTTTTAAGATATATATGGAATGTAACAAACGCATTGGTCACTTTTAAAATATATATGGAATGTAACAAATGCATTGGTCACTTTTAAGATATATATTGAATGTAACAAATGCATTTGTCACTTTTAAGATATAGATGGAATGTAACAAATGCATTGGTCACTTTTAAGATATATATGGAATGTAACAAATGCATTGGTCACTTTTAAGATATATATGGAATGTAACAAATGCATTGGTCACTTTTAAGATATATATGGAATGTAACAAACGCATTGGTCACTTTTAAAATATATATGGAATGTAACAAATGCATTGGTCACTTTTAAGATATATATGGAATGTAACAAATGCATTGGTCATTAGGGCGTTGGGGTAGCCTAGTGGTTTAAGCGTTCGCTCGTGACGCTGAAGACTAGATTAATTTTAAATCAAGTTACACATTCCTCATTATAAAGACATGCTTTAAGAGTACAGAAACAGCATGGATTATATCAGGATTTTCAGAGTTGAGCAGATTCATCATTAACTGACGGTCTTTAAAATACCTTGCAACATGGGGAGAAATTTATACCTTAAACGGGAATACGTTTCAGATATAAGTAAGACATGGTATTCATCCTCTACTTCTCCGGATGAACAGTTTGTACAAATAGAGTTCACAATATCACCGTCTTTGGACCTGCGACATACATTAACATTAAAATTGCGCAATAAAATTCTAAGTTTACAATAAGTTCTGATTAAACTTTTATCATTTAAACAAGTTAAATATCTTTCAGTTTGTAACACTGATTTTACTTTGCTGTAATTGCTAGGACAAAGTGATTCAGAAATACTTTAGTGCCACTGTTGACAAAATATATCCTTTAGTCTTTGCTAAAATGAATATAAAAATAACTGTGGATCTCCCACATCTTGAGAAATCCATACATATGAAAAGCCACCAACAAATAATAGATTTCTCACATCTGAAACCCAATTATTTTTGCCATTATCATCAAGTCCCTTTAACATTTTGTAACACTGATATGGGTATCTATCAGGCATCATTCTAAGTAACTTAATCCAATACTTAATTACCCTTTATTGGCTGGCTACGAACAATATTACTACGGCCTGGACACTTAGAAAACATTTGAAATAAAAAGTGTGAACTTTTTCAATTGCAGCGTAATACTTAGCACCCCATATTTCAGAACCATACAAAAGAATAGGCATAATTTTGCCTTCAAAAATGGTACATTCTGTGACACACACAACTATTTTTCCTGAATACATTGTAAAGAAGCATAATGGCTTTCGACGCCTGAACAGCTAATTGCTTACATGCCATAGACCATGACAATCTAGAAGAGAACATAAGACCTAAATATATATAGTAAGTGACTACACTCAAGGCAGACGAACCAAGAAACCACTTTTCAGGTTTTGCGACAATACCACCTTTTCTGAAAACTACAACATTGGTTTTATTCAGATTTACTTCAAGGCTCCATTTTGAACAGTAACTCTGTAACAGATTTAACTGTTTTTGCAAGCCATTTACAGAATAGGAAAAAATTACAACAACATCAGCAAAGAGAAGGAGCATAATGTCCATTATTTCTTGTGTTACACATATCCCATGTTGGCAACTATTTTGCAGTTCATTTATGAAAAATATAAACAACAACGGACTTAAAACACAACCTTGTCGTACACCGGAGGATGTTGTAGGGCAGTCCGTACGTTCGTTATTGTTCTTTATACATGCGCTGACTGATGCATACATGTTTTTCAAAAGTACAGACATTTTACCATGACATCCTTTAGTGATAAGTATATCATGAGCATGTGTTTATGAATCACCATGATAGTGATGATACCAGGTGTTCGCATAAAGTTGAACGTACCCTCCCCTACCGGTGGTACCAGTCACAAACACACGCAAAGGGAAGTCAAAACGCCTTCATTACAACAGAGATGTATTTTGAACGGACCACATTTCTTTCCATTTTCTTCATACATCATATTATAACATTAGGTAATCGTAGGTGACATTGCCTTTTAAGCAGTTTTTGCCCATTACGTTAGAAGTCGTAAACGCTCAAATATGTTAAGCCGTACTCGTCCACATTCGCCGTAAACCATGACATTTGTTATTTTTTGTTTTGTCTGTTTAATGTTGACGCCGCACTCAGTAATATTCCAGCTATATGACGGCGGTCTGTAAATGACCGAGTCTTGACCAGACAATCCAGTGATTGACCTCATGAGCATCGATCCACGCAATTGGGATACGATGACATGATTCAACCAAGTCTGACCACCCGATCCCGTTAGTCGCCTCTTACGACAAGCATAGTCGCCTTTTAAGGCAAGCTTTGGTTGCTGAAGGCCCATTCTAACCCGGATCTTCACGGATCTTATCACATTTGACGTACATTGTTTGACACAAAGAAATATTAAGGTGCATATAAGTGAACCATTTCAGAATACCCTGTTCTCGGGTCAGCAGGTTACACAATAAATCCTCAAATAGCGCACACCGTTCTTGCACTTCATCCGAACAGATAGCTCTGAACGTTTCTGCCAAGACTAAGATTATGATTTTAAGAAAAATGATGACCTATTGCTTTGAGATAAGAGTGGACATTTATAGGTGATTATTCGAATGTTGTCCGGGAATATAAATACTGACAAGTACATTAAATATGAGTAAATCGGTAAAATGTATCAACAAGAGCAAAGAAAGCATCCTTTCAATTGCAGTCTAATTAATAAACGTGTTTCAATAAACTTGGCGTTGTTACATCTTACCTCACCTCAACTGTATGGTTATCAAATGGGTGTCTAAAGTTTTATTCTATATAACAAGTTTAACTGTTCGCCTGTAAAAGATTGTTTAGTGTTGGCAACTCCAAGTAATATGGTAAATGGTGAATATGGAAGGTGGCGACTATATATAACATCTTATACTCGATGCCTTCGCTATTGGCTGAAGTTATTAATTAATTATTATCTATTATTAATTATTATCTATTATTAATTATTATCTATTATTAATTATTATCTACTAATGACTTCGTATGTCTGCTGACAAACAAAAATCATAACTGACGTCAGTTGTTATTGTCTTGATACCACACTATTTGTTAACATACCCGTACGTCTATGTGGTTGAGTAAGTTGGTTTTAACGCTGCTTTGAACAGTATTCCAGTCATATCACGGCGAGTCAGCTTAATGTGGAAGGAAAGCCCGAAGTGATACAGGTCTCACTTGCGTGAAAACCATTAGCCCGGGTATGGTGCTGACATGCCTAGGAACATAATCAGGGTAAACCGGGATTCGAACCCACAATCATAGGTTCCTGGAGTGTGCAAGGGACGCAATTCTGCACAGCGAATTACGGCGCGTTAGACTGGGCAACCAGTGCTCCCCTGAATGTTTTCGTAACCCCGCTTAAAACTGGTCCGATGGGCTTCCATACAATAAAGCATTGAATTGAATTGAATAGAAGTGGACTGCATTCAAACAGTATTACAAACACACGCCTTAATGTTAAACACCTAGAAAATCACCGACCGTATCCAGTAATACAATGTTGAGGTGACATCTGGGTCTGTGACAGTAGCAACACGACCAGCAACAAGAAGGGAGTCACCACATAACCCAGTCCAGAAGACTTGTTTATGACGTGTTTCCCCCCATCCTCTGTACCATTGGATTATAACAGGAACACTGTTAACTGCTGACACAACTCCACCTTACGGCTAAGCCTTTTAGCTTCGCCTACAGCATCCTAATAGCTTCACGTCACAGACTTGAGATAAGACGTAAGATATTCGATATGCTCCTTGTACCTTTGCTGGGGATCTTTCTGCCTGCTGTGGTCGTCGGCTTCAGCCTCACCATCCTGCACACCAACGACATCCACGCCAGATTCGAACAGACCAACAAATACAGTGGCCAGTGCCAAACCGATGATGTGGCAGAGGGGAAATGTTTTGGTGGGACAGCGCGACTTGTGACCAAAGTCCGTGAACAGCGCTCCCTCCATTCCAACACCATCCTCATGTCGGCAGGGGACGAATATTCGGGGACGCTGTGGTTCTACAAGTACCAAGGTGTTATTGTGGCTAGATTCATGAACCTGTTGCAGTATGACGTCATGGTGAGTATATCAGTCTACGCCATAGCGAGTATATGAACATGTTGTAATGTGACGTCACTGCGAGTATATGAACTTGTAATGTGACGCCATGGCGAGTATATGAACTTATTGCAATGTGAATGTATGGCGAGTATATAAACATGTTGCAGTTTGACGCCATAATGAGTACAATTATGTGTTTCCGCTTAACAATCCTCATATTCAGAACAAGGCTAATCCCTTACGATGGAATCATTATTGAATATAATGTAATCAAACTTTAGGGTTATGTTTGTATTCATAATGCAGTTTTACGCTGGGGTCTTGAGTCACTATTAACTCTACTCTCATCACATTCCAACAACGAGGTCTAAAGGGATCCTGTCATTTCACACAGAGGTCTCAGAAGAGCGTTAGGTTCTCCTCCACTCATGATATAACGGACAGGCAGAGACAGGAAGTGATGGCCCCACCTTCCCAACACTAAGCTGGCAGTCAAGCATGACAGGCATTTCAGATGCAAATGCAATCTTTGTCCCCTGGCAATACCGGCAACACACTTTCACTGGTGTATATTGTTCACGACAGGAGAGGTTGACTACACGTCCGGGAGTATGACAAAACCCATGAACGTCCTACTTAAATAACAAAAAGGACATTGTTATGTAAACTTGCACAGAAAATACAGCATATGTGGCTGTACCTACTGTGAGACACTGTCAGAACAGAGCTTGTGTTCATTTCAGACCTCGTACAACGGCACATGAAGTACAGCATCATTTAATAGAACATTACGGAATGTCAACACAGAGGTAGAGTTTAGGTTTCCACAGAGTATTTAGAGCTTTTAATTAGAAGTCATCCGAAAACGCTAAGCTTTCTAAAAACGCTGGCTTTTCTACTATTAAAAAGATTACTAAATTTACAAATATTTGGCTTGTTGCGAAACTGATTTGATGTATAATAGCATGTGGTTAATAAATGGGTTCAATGAGAGACAGCCCGATGGTCATTTCCTATTTCATCGAGGTGACTTGGATTGCAGTTTCTTTCTGTGGGTGGGACACATGTGTCAAATACTGCCCGTGTGAGTACAAATATTGTGAAATGTACGGTGTGTGAGATACTGCCATTGTGAGTACAAATATTGTGTAATGTAAGGTGTGTGAGATACCGTCAGTGTTGGTAAAAATATTGTGTAATGTACGGTGTTTGACAAACTGCCCGTGTGAGTACTAATATTGTGTAATGTACGGTGTTTGAGATACCGTCAGTGTTGGAAAAAATATTGTGTAATGTACGCTGCGTGTGAGATACTGCCAGAGTGTTTATAATTATTGTTTAATATACGGTGTGTGTGATATACTGCCAGTGTGAGTTAAAAATATTGTATAATGTAGGGTGAGTGAGATACTGCCAGTGTGAGTACAGATATTGTATAATGTAGGGTGTGTGAGATACTGTCAGTGTGAGTACAATATTGTATAATGTAGGGTGTGTGAGATACTGCCAGTGTGAGTACAGATATTGTATAATGTAGGGTGTGTGAGATACTGCCAGTGTGAGTACAATATTGTATAATGTAGGGTGTGTGAGATACTGCCAGTGTGAGTACAATATTGTATAATGTAGGGTGTGTGAGATACTGCCAGTGTGAGTACAATATTTTATAATGTAGGGTGTGTGAGATACTGCCAGTGTGAGTACAGATATTGTATAATGTAGGGTGTGTGAGATACTGCCAGTGTGAGTACAATATTGTATAATGTACGGTGAGTGAGATACTGCCAGTGTGAGTACAATATTGTATAATGTAGGGTGTGTGAGATACTGCCAGTGTGAGTACAGATATTGTATAATGTACGGTGAGTGAGATGCAGTCAGTGTGAGTACAATATTGTATAATGAACGGTGAGTGAGATGCAGTCAGTGTGAGTACAATATTGTATAATGTACTGTGAGTGAGATACTGCCAATGTGAGTACAGATATTGTGTAATATACGGTGTGTTTGAGATACTGCCAGTGTGAGTACAGATATTGTGTTATATACAGTGTGTGTGAGATACTGCCAGTGTGAGTACAGATATTGTGTAATAAACGGTGTGTGTGAGATACTGCCAGTGTGAGTACATATATTGTGTAATCTAATGTGTGTGTTACTGCCCATGTGGGGGTAGATATTGTGTAATATATTGCTTATGTGAAGTACTGCTTGTTTGAGAAGATCTGTGTTGTGTTCTGCCTGATTAAGAGCAAATATTTTGATGCATAGCGTGTGTAATGCACATATCATGCGATTAACTGCTTAATGCCCAATGTACTGCTTGGGTGAGGGCAGATGTTGCGTGATGCATTACCTGTCCGCGGGTGATGTGCGATATTTAGGGCAAATATTGTGTAAAGCACTGCTTTTTTGTGGCAAATGTTGTATGACGCATCGCTTGATCGAGGGGAACATTGTGTTAGATTTCGACTCATCTATATAACTCAATATTATATAGCACCACCATTTGTGCCTATTTTCTAAATCTAGACACAACATACTATTCTCAGATGACATTTACTTTCATTTTTGACAAATTGTCCTGAACCTTCGAAGATAGAGATGTAACTATATCTATGGTCACAACGTTTTGTGACAAATGCCCCATGGACTAAGGAATGAAGTCTTGCCTTAAGTTTGTCCCGTGGGATGGTTGTGTTACAAAGGTGAAACATCTTGGTTCTTTTCTGAAATTGAATCAGATCCTTTGCGTTTTTGAGAAACCACATGGTTCTCATTCCACTTGTATCATATACCTTCTGTTAATATAAAGAAAGAACTTCCTTGATTGTATGAAGGATTATAGTTTATCTTTTAATACAGGATTTGGTTATGCATTTCCTGGAATATCTCTCTCTTTGAACGGATGTTTATTTAGCTTTGGAATGCCTTACAAAAGAGGACTGGCCATGTCTTCAGGTTTTAAGTCAAACGTTAATTGTACTTATGCGTGGTTTACATATTGGCTAGATTAACATATACATTAACATATGTGGCATTATTTGATGTGACACTTAAAAATTATACATTGTTCTGTAACCAAACAATTAACTGAGTGATGATTACATATACTGGCTCTGTGTTTTGAGGCCTTGTAAGTGGAACCAACTACTTACTGTTCATGTAAGCCTGCCAGGCTTTGGATGGCAGGTGGCTGGGACAGACTGTTTGTTTTAAAATTTTGTTTCCTCTTATTTAGTGTGTGCATTCTACCAATGACAACATCACGCACTGATTTAACCCACTTTGAAAGACATTCAGCAGTTTCCTCTTATTTAGTGTGTGCATTCTACCAATGAAAACATCACGCACTGATTTAACCCACTCTGAAAGACATTCAGCAGTTTCCTCTTATTTAGTGTGTGCATTCTAACAAGGACAACATTACGCACCGATTTAACCCACTCTGAAAGACATTCAGCAGTTTCCTCTTATTTAGTGTGTGCATTCTACCAATGACAACATCACGCACTGATTTAACCCACTCTGAAAGACATTCAGCAGTTTCCTCTTATTTAGTGTGTGCATTCTACCAATGAAAACATCACGCACTGATTTAACCCACTCTAAAAGACATTCAACAGTTTCCTCTTATTTAGTGTGTGCATTCTACCAATGACAGCATTACGCACTGATTTAACCCACTCTGAAAGACATTCAGCAGTTTCCTCTTATTTAGTATGTGCATTCTACCAATGACAACATTACGCTCTGATTTAACCCGCTCTGAAAGACATTCAGCAGTTTCCTCTTATTTAGTGTGTGCATTCTACCAATGACAACATCACACACTGATTTAACCCGCTCTGAAAGACATTCAGCAGTTTCCTCTTATTTAGTGTGTGCATTGTACCAATGCGAACATCACGCACTGATTTAACCCGCTCTGAAAGACATTCAGCAGTTTCCTCTTATTTAGTGTGTGCATTCTACCAATGACAACATCACGCTCTGATTTAACCCGCTCTGAAAGACATTCAGCAGTTTCCTCTTATTTAGTGTGTGCATTCTACCAATGGCAACATCACGCACTGATTTAACCCGCTCTGAAAGACATTCAACAGTTTCCTCTTATTTAGTGTGTGCATTCTACCAATGACAACATCACGCACTGATTTAACACACTCTGAAAGACATTCAGCAGTTTCCTCTTATTTAGTGTGTGCATTCTACCAATGACAACATCACGCACTGATTTAACACACTCTGAAAGACATTCAACAGTTTCCTCTTATTTAGTGTGTGCATTCTACCAATGACAACATCACGCACTGATTTAACCCACTCTGAAAGACATTCAACAGTTTACTCTTATTTAGTGTGTGCATTCTACCAATGACAACATCACGCACTGATTTAACCCGCTCTGAAAGACATTCAGCAGTTTCCTCTTATTTAGTGTGTGCATTCTACCAATGACAACATCACGCACTGATTTAACCCGCTCTGAAAGACATTCAGCAGTTTCCTCTTATTTAGTGTGTGCATTCTACTAATGACAACATCACGCACTTATTTAACCCGCTCTGAAAGACATTCGGCAGTTTCCTCTTATTTAGTGTGTGCATTCTACCAATGACAACATCACGCACTGATTTAACCCGCTCGGAAAGACATTCAGCAGTTTCCTCTTATTTAGTGTGTGCATTCTACCAATGACAACATCACGCACTGATTTAACCGACTCTGAAAGACATTCAGCAGTTTCCTCTTATTTAGTGTGTGCATTCTACCAATGACAACTTCACGCACCGATTTAACCCACTCTGAAAGACATTCAGCAGTTTCCTCTTATTTAGTGTGTGCATTCTACCAATGACAACATCACGCACTGATTTAACCCGCTCTGAAAGACATTCAGCAGTTTCCTCTTATTTAGTGTGTGCATTCTACCAATGACAACATCACGCACTGATTTAACCCACTCTGAAAGACATTCAGCAGTTTCCTCGTATTTAGTGTGTGCATTCTACCAA